AGTAGTGATTCTAGTTGATTCCAGATGAGTGCTTAGGAAATTCTGCCTCAGCAGTCCACTTACTATTCTGTAATGGTGGATTCCATACGAGCGGTAAGTTGAGCGGTCAAATCAATTCAAGTTTGATTAAATTCACGGCGCGCGACGTGTGCTGTTGCTCTGTCGGTAGGACCTTGACCGCGCAAAAGCCTTCCCTGCTGTGCGACGAAGCCGCGGTTTTTTTCAGAATTGAGTCGACTAAAATGAACGTTTATTTGTCTGCTAATCCACTTACTATTCTCCAAACAATGGCTGCATTTGGACGCGCATGACTTGCCACACTGAATGGTTGTATATGCAATGCATTTCAAACCATGTATGATTATTAATTTTACAGCAATATAGTGGTCATTGATGTCAAAAGTACCTTAACACAAATATGCATCAAAACCATAATAAAACAGTTAAAAATCAAGCACGTGCTGCAGCATCTGAACGTGTTTTGTTAGCTAATCCACTTGATATCCGCTAATCATTGTCTACATTTGCAAGTCCATGGCTTGCAGATTTGGATAGATCACGGGCGTCCAAGATGCATTTAACCAAATGCGATTATGCGAAATGTATACCCCTTGCCAAGAGCAGGCCCAACTACAGCCGTTAACGTACAAAAGATTTAACGGGGTTAGGCGGGGAAAAGCCTGTGAATATTGTGGGTAATTAATTGATGCACTGGTTGCTCGCGGATTTGCGGTAATGTATTTTCACCCTGTTAGCGCAGCCTTTCAGACCCATGCCATAGGCCTAATCCCGCCTATCTCCCTCAGGGCGCGTGTTGGCATGTTGCCATTTTTAAAGCCGGCATGTTGCGATTTTTTAGATCAACGGTCGACTCTGCGCTCCGTGGTTTGGAGTGACAGCCACAAATCAAGGTGGCCGCAAATAAGTCTGTAGTAAGGAAGGACTGGCTGCATGTACTGATGAAAATATTGTCCGGTAAACTATTCGTTTTGAACGAGCTCTATAAATAAGGGCTTATAATCCAGAGTCAAACTTTTAATGTTGTAAGTTTATTAAGTGCAAGCGTTCAATTACACTTAGGTCGGCTTTCCGAAGTATAACAATTAAGTGTTGCTATATGGCAGAGCATTTCCAAAACGTAATGTGGTAGCACTGTAATTGCACATACCGCACTTTAACATTGTCTGTTTACTTGCAAACACCACATTGCTAGCCAGTATTCATTTTGCTACAAGTAAGGTGCATCTCTTATATGTTTATGTCTTCGAATCTCGAATATAGCCGCTATCCAACGACTGTGCATTGCCTGAGTCGTGCTATTGAGATATGCTACAGAATTGATCATTTCGTAGTTATTTAACCTGATATAACTGTCTACATAGTGAATACACGAAAGGAAAAACAAGCAATATCCGCGAGAATCCAAATTCGAAATCCTTCAGTAAGTACAAGTTTGTGTAAGTTTACATTACATACATATGCATGCAGAAAAAAGTTAAAGCAACAAATGCCTCAATAAAATCTCACATAAAGCTTTTTTTCACTTCAAAGCCAAGAAAATTTAAGGTTATTTGATATAATTTTTATACCGTTTTATGCATCAAACATTAAATCCATGACCATTTCATACCATCATCAGCTAATACTGTTCATTTTTTCACTTGCAATGCCTTCGAAACGAAGCATTCTCAATCTTGGCACATAGCTACGGGTTCAAAGTCACACTGACGCCTGTCGACTTAGACTGGCACAGTTACATAGCATACGCGATGCAGGAGGATACTCCCCTGTGGGAATGTGAAATGGTCCGCGTAAACAATAGGCTTTCATGTGTGATTCCTCAACTTCCACCAAATTCCATTTACAAAGTCGGCATAGCCTGCTGCACTTCACACGGCATTTGCATCTACTGTATTGATCGTCTCCCTGCCAGAACGAGGCCTGGCGGTAAGATATCATTATTCGTTGCTGTAATGGTAAATACATAACTATACACATATGCGCGTAGGTAGCAATATTTAGTTCGCGTAACAGGAAAGGCGAACAGCCACTTTACGTAAAATTATGATTCATCGAAAACTGAACACCTTGTGCAATTACCATTGGTGAAATCAATGATGTCTGGAATAACATGTCATCTAGTGTTTCCCGAAATTAAGCTAGGTTATCAAGGACATAAATTATCGCGGACGGTATATGGTTGCTTCTGTGCGTGAATGACAGCAGAAACTGATTAGCTTAATACCCCGTTCAGTGATTTATTGTACGAAGTCCATTTTGTTAATTAAACCCACGCATCAGTAAATTATTTGAATAAAAAAGGACTACTTAAAGGTTATTTAATGTAGTATAACAATTGTCCAACGAATGTTTATAAGAATGTTTAAATAGATTAACAATTGAAGAAGCTGTATATTTTAGCCAATGCGAGTAGTAATTGTTACCTGGATGCCACGAGCTTGTACTTGTATATTCTTTAATAAATTATCGCAAAAAGGTGTTTAACGTGTCAGTTACTGCCCTTAGTCCATGGATTGACTATAGATCATTTGCATAATAATTGGAATAGTCTTTAGCCATGTACCTGTTGATTACCTTCCTTCAGACCCGTTTCTAGTGTGATTCGTTTTGGCATCTTTTACCTCCATTGTGTTTGATAAATTACTTGGCCGGTGAACGAATCATCACCACTTTGATCTTCTAAATAATAATTGTAAAGTGCTGACTGTTCTCAAATGTGTCTAAGCTCCAAGTCATGTTACAGATTTTAAATATTTGTTTATCGCGACATTAAAAGACTATGCGCTTTACAAATTACATGACCGCTGGTGAAATTTATTGTCAGCTGACTCTCCTAAAACGTTTTAGTTCCACGACATGTCACAATTGGTCTCCGAACAGACACAACATTCAGCGTTTTCTGGACAAAGCCATTCGAAGATCTGAAAGGAGAGTACTCTTACGAGGTGAGAGCTGTAAATTCCACTAGGGACTTGGTGCACGTATGCAATTCCGGGTGCAAATGGGACAACCTTAAAAGCGGCGCAAACTACAAAGTAACCGTGAGGGCCTGTTTGAGGTATAATTGTGGTGAAGAATCGATTGCTGTACTGGCAGAAACATTGCCAAGTGTTGAGTTCTGGGGACAGGTTTGCTATCTTGCCCATTTCTTTTTTTTATAAGCGTCGCTATATCTGATTAATTGGAATAAGAATAATCTGGTTAAAACTGGCGCCATGCCTAACAAATATATGCAAGGTAACGCTGTCAATCTAACCCGCATGCCAGCGCGCGAGGTGAACCTCGTTTAAATTAAACTATGGACTGACGTATTTTTAAAAAGTTAATATTCTTGCAAGGATATTTTATTTCCCAATGGGCCATTTAGCAGTTAACCATATGTGCCCTTGCATGAGACTTAGTAATTCAGCTTCAAGGATTATAAGGTAGATCATTACTGACTAGGGGGTACGCTAGGTGAACATTTAAAAAGAACCGGATCTTAAATTCACAGAGCGAAAAAATTTCAATCGATATTTCCCCGTGTTCAGCGCCCCGGTATCCCGCCTTAAGAAGCTCAACCCCAAATGCTCTGACAATGGTATTTGAACCGCCTGCGGACGCCAGGGACTCCGCCTACATCTATGCGGGCACCTTCGACCCACCCGTCGGCCTAAATGTTTACGGTGGGGGTTGCGAAAAAAGGCAACTTACAACTGACCCTTTCTGCGAAACGGACCTTGCTGTGCCCGCAACGATCTACACCTTCCGGATATTCGCCTGTACCCACAAAAGTTTGCTGTGCATGGAAGGAGAAACGGGAAATGCTAGTACCTCAGACCCACGTAAGACATGCATGCGTTCGTTTGACTTATGGTATTTTCTTTTCTGATTCTCTCCCCTCATTAAAAAATTTTTAACCATAAAAGATTACCTGATAGTAATATCGCTCGATAGTAAAATGCCAGTTTCCATACAGTAGGTTATCTAATTCATGAAATCCGTGGGTTTTTACAAGTAAGTCCCTGTTACTCAAACGCAGCTCAAGCTGCGCCCTCCAAGGTCTAACAACAATAAAGTAATGGTCGTTCTTCACAATAGGGAATATTGTGATTTATAAAGGAATGTAATGTTTTATAGAAATGCCAGATAATTTAGCAAAGTGGAAAATGCCGAAAAAGTGGAAATTTGGCGTACTAGGTAAACTTAGGTTTCACATGCAGAGGAAGCCTGTTCATGCAAAATAACCGGGTAAATAAAGCGGTATAATTAAAACTACCTGTTACAATAATCCTTTTGTGACATTTTCCGATACAAATGCTTCTACATTACGTGCAATATACTGTTAAAGAACAGCCCAAATTTTCAGTATGTATTCCATCAAGTTTTCACGACAATTGCTAGTTTTTCTTTCGTTTGTGCATTGCTTAAGTTAATCTTGACTAAAGCAACTATAATTTCGTTTGATTTGACCCATTGGAAGATCGCATGAGTAATGTATTCCTTATTTTTTTGAAGATTGAGTCAAGATCAAAAGGGGACACTTTGGTCATTATTTTTTATTTCCTAAGAAATAACAGGGACACATCTTCTGCTACAAATGAAAGAGATGATTCCTCTATTTAAACCGGAACAGTTTTCAGTATATTTTATTATTACTAGGCTCAATTCTACAATAGTAAAAGCAGAACAAATGTGCAATAATATTAACGGCGATGTTGAGAAACCCGTTTCACAACGTCGCGTGACAAGTCACTCAAATGTGTGCTACGTTTACTGTCTTCAACATTCTACTGACTGTACCATCGATTTGGTTACGCTATACTAATTAAGTTGTCATACGCATTCATTGACTGCAACCCTTTAAATATACAGTATACATTTAAGGTAGAGTATAGAAAGTAGCCTCCTAAGTTTATTACTACATATTTAGGGCACAAAGCTTGACAGATTTGCGAAATAGATTTTTTTAAACTTTTTTGTTCTACGTTTCCAACAAATAATACGCCATCTCATAGTTACACTAACCCCAATTTCATAAAAGCAAAACAAAATTATCTGTTCTCTGAAAATATATAATTAAAAAGTTTCCGCTTTTTATTAATGTTTATTTGTAGTTTATCACGAAACAACGACAAGTTTTTTTGCGCGGCGTTTAATAACGTAGAAAAATCCTTGGATATCAATAAACGTTGCATTTGGTCCCCATTCCGCTTTTTTGCCAAAACTCTTTTTCTAGTAAACAGCATTTTGCAATTCAAGTCAACTCAATGAACAACATAAACAACCTCAACTGTGTGCTAAATCACCCACTCAAATTTTATTCCTTCCATTTCATAAGATATGCAATCGACTGTAATTCAGTTTTGTGCTTCTTTATGCTAATTTTGACAGTATATAACGCCGCTTTTCATATCAAGTTGCAAATGCGAGTAGAAGTATGGTTTTCCTATGAATGCTGCACGAATTATTGTAGCACAGTGAACATCCTGACTACCAATAAGACATGTTATTGCAATTTGAAGAAGAAAAAATGAGTACAGCCTGGAAAATAATCATGTATTTAATTTAAACTGGAAATTACTCAACTCTGCTTGGGCTTTTATTTACCCCTGAATACCAATTGTATTTTATTTTAGAGCCAGGTCGCCTTTACTTGGCTCGGATGCAAAACGGCTGTGTTTACGTCACCTGGCGTTCGAAAATTGGAAACGAATTGGACGATAAGCGCGTATTTCGAGTGCGTGTTGATAAAACCACCAGTGAAGAACACCGTGTTCCAGTCGGACAAGGAAACTACAGCTACGTCTTCAATGGGCTCCAACCGTCTACGCCGTACATCTTCACCTTGGACATTTGCGAGGGACAAACTTGCAAAACATTAGATGGCGCAGCGCTCGCAACTTTAGATGCAGGTGAATTTTATGAATGACTGATGTTTATTTCGCAACTGCCTCTTTAAAAGACCGATTCACATATGTTTGTATGAAACGAGTTCTAGTGTAGGAATGGCCAAATAGACAATAGCCGATTGAGTCAGTTCGCGAAGTATGCCGCCAAGAATTTGGAAAATTGGGGCTTTGGACGGGAGCCTTCCGTGCATTATAGAGGATGCATTAATTTCGAGTTCGAGAATAAGTGCACAGGCTACCGCTGCTGCCACCACTACCGTACTTTAACCAGAACTTGTGCTTTTTACGCATATCACACATAGGTTTGTGCTGGTATCATTAATCGCAGGCTTGCTCCACACCAGGCACCTCGGTCGGCTTCGGCGTATGAAAGATAGAAAAGAGATTGTGAGCGCCTCTGTAGATTAGGTCCTCATGGCAGTCAGAGCATATTCCTCACGACTACCAATACGATACGTCGCGAATTTATCTAAGAGAGCTGAAACTTGTTGAGTAATT